TTTTCTTATCTATATATCTATCTGGCTAGTTTTCTTTCTGCCTTTCTGTGAAGAGATGGTAAGCTTGAAGATGTAATAGTAGAGATAATAATATTAAGGTTTTGTGGGCGAAAAAAGAAAGAGAAATAAGCAAATATAAAGAGAAACCTTTTGTTGGAGCTTTAATTTAGTGAGGTGTGTTTTTGTTGTTTTAGAGCTTTGAATGCAAGGGTGCAAACCAAGATGAGAGTATATATACATGCAAGAATTGGACTCTACAATGGCTTCAAAAAGACGTGTCAATATATTAGGGTGCGAAAATTTCCCAATAAAAAGCGGCTATTTGGTGAGTGAGTTTTATTGAGAAGAGAATGAAAGGGGGTGGGGGCCTATCTATCTATCTTATTCTTGTCATTCTACTTCTTTTTTCTCTTATATGTACAAAAAAAATTCTATATTTGATTCTTTTTCTTACTTAAATGAGATGGAATGGACGTGTGGATTCTACCTTATGAAAAGGTAGGGCCTTGTCCATTTCAAAAAGCCATGAACGCGAGCTTTTTCCATCTTGTCTTAGTATAGTAGAAGTAAAAAGTAAGTATGAGGGAGAGTTTAGTCCATGAGAAAAAAATGCATTAGAAAGTATTAAAGAATTTGGTAATGGGAATATATTAGTTTTTCACCGTCCAAACGGTTGCACTTGAGAAACCTGCACGGTTTATTCAAGTGTCAATGCCCTATTGGCAATTAATCTTGTTGGGGATTATACCCTAGTTAAATCACCACATTTTTTATTTAATTCTTGGATAAGTTTTTATTACATCCTCTTATTAGGTTTCGATTTCTGTCCTTACCCGCTTATCCAACCCCACCCTTTTCTTCCCCCAAAGAACCTCTTTTCTTTCTCACCCATCTAAAGAAATTAAAGAAAAAGAAAGGGAATAAAAATATTATCTCTGTTATTTGCCAAGTGGTAGGAATGGATTGACAAGCAATACCAATATTGTTCAATTCTTGCTCTAGATGTTTTGATATGACAAAACACATATAACTTTTCTTTCTTCTTGATGCCTATGGATATACCTACGGATGTATATATAGGGAATGGAAATACATATACATATATACATAATACCAATATTGTTCAATTCTTGCTCTAGATGTTTTGATATGACAAAACACATATAACTTTTCTTTCTTCTTGATGCCTATGGATATACCTACGGATGTATATATAGGGAATGGAAATACATATACATATATATGTTGGAGGTAGGGGGTAGGGGAACTTAGGGAGAGAGAGGAGGAAGCAAGGAATTAGCTAGAATACGGGTTACAGGGTCAAACACAGTAGTTTTTGTGTACATATATTTATTTTAAGAAACTCTTTGAATATGTACAAATTATTAATTTAGAATCCAATAATTTAGAAGGACTAGAATCTCAATCGATAAATTTTAAATCCTGCAAAGGAAGTGTGGCTAAGGAAATGTTGGCATGTTCCAAGGCAAAAGAATTACATGCATGTTACATTCTCCTCGCAGCCCATGTGATGCACCAGAGCATCGAGCATGACTTATGTTGTCTGCAACTGATTTCATTACCCCAAAACACCGTTTTAGCCTTTGGCTACTTGCAACTTTTTGATAGTGCACATCTGTTTTCTAAATTCTGTTTTGAAGGTCCCATCTTTTCTTGGCCTTTACATATAATTTATATACTATATGCCAAGAATATATAATATTTAAACCACTGTAAAAAATAATGGCTTATGCAGAAACCGGAAAACTTGTGGCCGGAATTTTCCTTCTCTTCAAGTAGTGGGAAGAGCAAAGAATGAACGATTCCTTATATGACATTTTTCATATGATTTTAATTTAATATAGATCTCCCTTTTGTAGTCTAATCACTGATGTTATGGTCGGTTTTTTGGTGGGCCATTTGGGATGGGCATTTCTTCTTTTTAAGACCTAAAAGCAAACTTATTCATTTCTCTTTTATTCAATGGGGTAACGTGAAATGACTACAGCCAACCATCAAAGTTATTTTCTTCTCCAAAAGACCACCTTCAATCTTCAAGAATCAGCAACTTCTACACAAATTTTCAAGTGGATGAGATCAGTTTAATGGTCTCTGTTGAAGATGAGATTGTACGTGTTTAAAGCTGAGGAAATGGTTAATTTTGCCAGCGGTGAGAATGAGAATGTACGCGTCTAGGAACTTTGTTTGGTATGTTTGAGACAGTACAAGACTGGACCTCAAGATTTCTTAGTGAAACTTATTTCAATTTTCACCCCCAACTTCTCTTCACTTGATTTGTGATTGTTGGGGTGGTGGTGGGGCGGGGGAAGGTTAGGAATTTGGATAGGAGCACAAGAAGTAATAAACTGGTGGGGTTTTTCTTTAAAGTGGCCAAAAGTGTCAAATCCGAGGGATCTTTTTCCCTTGCATATATTTGATCTTGTAGTTAAATAACTTATCCTAAATGCTCACAGTTTGTGGGAAGTAGAAAAAAGAAATGGGGATCGTTGGGTGGAATGTGGTGGTCGTATTACAAAGCATCATGCAAAATTGCAAAAAAGAAAAGGAAAAAAAGGGACCACTAAGGTAAATTGGGTGGAAAGTGTGACAGTAGCAGTAGATGGCCATATGGAGAAGCAGCAGATGGAAGAAGGGGAACACTGAAACAAAATCTTGAAATAAAATAAAACCAAGTACGTGCTGCATTTCCAGCCATTTAATTTTTGTATCCAATTTTCACAACAGAGATCAATGTGTCTCCAAGTGGGGGGCCTTAATGCCCTGTTTGTGCGTGTCTCTGTATTCTGCAAACCAACAGCAACAGCAACAGAAACAGAAACAGAAACAGAAACAGAACAGAAAAGAAACAGAAACGAACAGAAGCCCTTTAGCAGCAGGCAGAGTTAGCAGCAGCTTTCTTCGTCCCCCACTCACCCCATCTTGAAATAACACCACCACCAAAAAAATTTACAAAATTTTCCACAATTCTAAGTCTCAGCTAACTTCAAAAAATTCACTGAACCCTTTATTTCATTTTGCAAGGACATTATTTCCTGTCAAAAAACCCTTATCATCATGTCAGAGCACTCGCCCCCCCCCCCCCC